TCACATGATATCGGATGCACAATGATAAAATACTACTATTATATCTGCATTTGGAATAAATATTTTGCACTCTTTCAACTCAGAATCATTAGACATTATGAACACATATATTTATTAATAGCAAAGCCTACACGTTAAAATACTTACTCAGTGCATATAACAGTGCATGAGAATAATCTGCATAAAATGAACAAAATATATTTCAAACAGTAATTATAAAAGTTTGTTACTTACCTTCGCTGTACAACCAAAATGCAGTCAGCCATGTTTTTTTTCTACGACTAGCTTTCAAACGCTTTTCTCCTGATTGACTGATCTCCAGTCAGTCACGGGATTCTTCCACGCGGCTTCTGAAACATTATTTGTAATGGTACAGGCGAATCATCTGTTCTCGCTATAGTTCGCTTTCAAATTGTTAACATTACAGGAAATTCATACGTAACTTAATTTCTGTAACTTTACAAAGCTTTTGCCTGTAAAGAACGACCTTTTTTTTTACAGTGCATAAGGCAGATTCTCAAAACATTACTTTTTATGAACTTAGTCTAATTTACCTTTTAACTCATTAACACAAAAGATGGAAAGAATCCAGTTCTCTGCTTTCTTCTGGCAGTGTTACAGGCAGTTGAGAGTTTTTGATATTTATCAAAATAAGAAAGTTCGGGTAACTTATCATCTGATACATTTCATTTAAGCTCGGAAGATTCTTCGTCAATCTTTATCTACTAAGCTACATCAAATATGGGTGAAAGTAAGATACAATAACAAATATTAATTTAGAAGTCCAACAACAAAAATCAGCTGCAAAAGCGCAAATGCAAATGATGGTGGTTCGGTAAAACCATCGAAACTAGTCCTGTGAAATTTGAAAATATAACGCTGATTTTTGTTGTTTGACTTCTAAATTAATGGGTGAAAGTTTTGTAAACACCTCAAAATTAACTGCATTCTGATCCTTTGTACAAACTTAATACAACTGTCTTACTAAATACTGGGTTTTGATCAATTATCTGAAGTCGAAGTAGAATTCAAATAAATCATAATTTCGAGCGGGATTAATTAAATTTCGAGATAATTTAAGTAAACATTATTCACGGTTGGAAATACATTTTCATACGCAGCTCTAAATTGTGTTAAGCGTATAAAAATTTCATTGTGAAACTTAATATTTTAAATAAAACAACCAAAGTTTTCTCAAGTTTTTCCACTGTGGAAGCTGTTACCGCTTTATTTTCCCTAGGCTATTGAAATGACTACTTGACGTGGCGGAAGAGTCTGATTACTGAAATGAATCATACTTCAGTTGTCTCCAAGCGCAATATTTATTGAATGAGAAATCAATGCGATAATCACTCCATTATCAATTAGACTTTACTATTAAGGAGAAAAAATCAATGGTGTTATTCTTATCCATGTATTTATTTCCCCTTGAAAAGAGTGATGCCGATGTTTCTTACGGATAAGTATACCGTGAATCTGTGCGTTCTACTATACGGTAATTAATTATATCCCACTTCAAGAAGAACAATATGCATAAGCCTTAGCGCACAGAGTCACTTTTCATAATCATGCATTTGTTTAGAACTATAAATATCAGCCAAATTGCAAACTATTTATAATCTTCTCAGCAATGAGGTTTAAATAAAAGGTCGAGAGAGACGAATGGTACAGAAAAATTAGCAAAAAATTTATTTGATGCCTAAAAAATAAAATATCGAAATATTAACAGAATTCCTAACAAAATCCCATCAGTATATCTGTATAAGAAAATTGAGCCGTTAAAATCGTGTAAAACAACCGTAAAACCATGTAAAACATTGCAAAACCAGATTTTAACTGTATTGCTTATTGAAATTCCGAAAACATTATCAATGCTTCCAAATTAGTACATTCTTTCTGCTACTATGCTAAATTTTGTTTTCAGAAAAATAAAAAAAAACTAATTTATTTATACGCATGATAAAATATATTTTTCTTTTATTTGTTCGCAATACTTTAAGTTTAAAATTCTAATCTGTTACTTAGATAAGTTTACTTATAGTTCCCATTTGTTATACGATTCTTCCGCCGAATATAACATTCATGAAGAGACTAAAATAAATAAGATTCTGTTCTTGTAGTGCCCATCAGCGGGTGAGCGGTAAATTCGCTAGTAATTCCGACCTGGGTTCGATTCCAGACGAACGGGCTGGCTGCTTTCGTGGGTTTCCCAAAGTGTAACGTGTATATGAGGCAGTTTCCTTGAGAAAGTCCTCTACGAAGGCATCCCTTCCTTTAGGCAGACAACCCTCGCAACCTTTGTCATAATTAAATAAACCAAACTAATATTGTCCATTTTTCGTATTTCCGCTTTCTGCATTCATGTAAAAGCGTTGTTTAGATTTTGGGTAAAAACTGGACCAGGATCACTGGCATTGGTACTTTACGTGAAGCTCATAATTAATAGACAACCAAAAATGGTACCCACGAATGTTTTTAATGAAAACAAACATGAGCGAAAACTTTTTAGTTTTAGTATTTGAGACGTTTTTATCAATGGGTATAATACTATATTAAATTTTGGCTAATATTGTTAAGTGATACTTTGTTAGATATTAGGTATAGTTTTGGCAGCAAAAGAGATTGAAGAATTAGCAACGCATTCACCGGGAATCGAACCGCGGACCTCTGGAATGCGCCCAGCGTGCAGACCACCACACCACGCAGGCATGCCAAGAAGTGGGAGAAATACCTTATTTGAAGCTCTGAACAGAATTTCGCAAAAAAAAGTATATTATGAGATCCGAAACTTCTCAAATTTGATTTTTAAAATAGGTATATGATTGCGAACAATATATTATATTTATTACTGTTAAATGCATTCTTAAAATTATGCTAAATGCAACGAGAATAAGCTCGTTATGAAGACGAGCTCTCATTATGAAGTATTATCTTAAGTCCTCAATTTTGTGTCCGTTTCACTTTTGTGTCGAATCATTTTTCAGCTTAAAAGGTTGCTGCTTCCAAATGTTATCGCTATGAATTAGTTTACAGAAATTATGTATCGAATAAAAAACAATTATGGCAACACTTGACATTCTGTAGGAAATTCTAAAAAAATGCTGATTTTAAGGACTTTTTGAAATTTTTTGTTGAATTTTATTTGGTATAAATGCAAATGCGAAGAAAATTATGTTTAATGTTTTAAAGCTAAAATGACAAGTAAAAAATTGTCATTGTAAGAAAACGTAGCACATTTTCATTCCTTACATCTTTCTTGGCCGACTGATGGCGGCTAAGTGAAATATCCCATTCTACTATCTCGATTCTTCTTATCATCCTTTTGTTGTTCCAGATATTCTTTTATCTGATGCAGAGTAAAAGCACGCTGTTGCGTGCTGTCACTGTCTTTCCATTCGACACAAGTCAAGCGAAAAAGATATGCGATAAGTAATATAAAAATCTATGCGATATTTTCACATTAAAGCATGAAAACAGATGCTTACGTGAGCGCGTATAGTTGTCGTTGTCCATTGTATGGGAGAAAAGAATAATAAAAAGCAAGTAGTGTTTATAATTGACATTGAGCCATAAAGTTTATAAACAGTAGATTTTATTTACAGACAATCAACCGTAGTGAAAGTTTACTTAAATATGGTTGCTATTTAAGGTACGGCGGGAGGTCACGTGCCATATATCACTTCCCCTGGACCAGTCGACAATATGCGTCTGTTTTCTTCACAGACGAGTCCAAGTTCACACTGGAGAGTGATTTAGGTTGTCAGTTGATCTGAAGAGAACAACGCACCAGATACAACCAATTCCACGTAGTAGAAAGACACAGTTACAGAGGTGGTGGAATAATGATTTGGACTGGGATCTCTCTCTGTCACAATGACCTGCATGTGTTCCATGGAGAAACTTTGACTGGTGTGAGAATGTGAGTTATCGAGACGAGATCCTTGGTCAATGTCCTCCCATATGCCGCTACTATTAGTCCTGGATTTTTTCTGATGGGCGACAATGCGCGACCGCACCTAGCTCGGTTTCCTGAAGAATATATTGAGGGTCACGGTATGGGAACCGATGGAATGGCCAGCTCAGTCCCCAGACATGAATCCGATAGAGTATCTTTGGGAATACCTTGGAAGGCAGGTTGCTGCTTTAAGTCCTCCTCCTAGGTCGTTAGACGAGCTTGAACAATGATTTCTCCGTGTCTTGTCTTTGTTTCCCATACAAAAAAACTTGCTGTTTCTTAACTTTTGGAGGGCAGTGTATCGTACAAGCAATAGCACACATTTTGTTCTTAATGTTCCTAACTAACTAACTGTCATAATTCCGAAACCAGTGTTGTTTTCTCAGATGTTTATCGTTTCCTATTTCTAAATTTCTTAGAATTGGACTGTCGTATGTATGTCATTGCAGTAGCATCTGCATTTTATAAATTCAGCCAGTCCACAAATAACAGATTTTGAATACGATTGGCTACATGAGTTGTTTCAAAAAGTTTGCCTTAATCTTTGTTAAGTGATTGATCATAAACTAATTATTCAGGAATGCGTCAGAAGTCTTTATTTTATTTTAGTACAGGTTTATTTACTTTATACAGAGAGAGAGACGATATAATATATGCGAAAATAACTATAAGAAACTAAACATGAAATGAAAGAAATTTGTTTTTATATTAGCTACATCTATTATAGCAGAATTCTCAAAATTTGTGACAGAATTTATATTTTTGTGAAACTATTTTCTGACGAATTATTTACTGCAGAAATTAAATAGCATCTTTTCAATATCTTTTACAGTGAAATGAATATATCAGCGGAAAACGTTAAAGTTTATTAGCTTTACAGATACAAGTTAAAGGAGTAACTTGGGACGTCAAATGCAAATTTGATCTCTTTTGTGCTTTTTATACTAACGTTGATTATAAAGTTTTATTTATCATGTCTAAATACACAATTTTATGTGTATGCTAATTTTTTTTCATTGTATAATTAGTCTATTTTCTATTGCAGATCAATTTACGGCTGATTTTGGTGAGTGGCAAAACCAGGGAATATCTTTTCAGCCCGAATGATTCAGCATCGGACATTGCACAGTTTGTTTTCGAGAACTGGGTTGAAGGTAATAGTACATTTGTACTACAAATTAGATAAATATCAATGAAATGAATACAGTTTTAAATCGTTGATAGTTGTATTTTTGCTTGGATATGTATAATAAGAAATTTAATAGGCTATCCTAATACATCATAAGGTTTTATAATTCTACTAAGCATTTAAAAAATTTACAACGAATAAACAACTACGCAACCGATACCAAATTTTATTATGTTATGCATAAAGCAAAGTTATCTAATACTTTTATGCGTTTCATAAATGCTCATTATGTTAAGCTTTGCTGATAAGGCCGGTTTCTTTTCAATAATTTGTTTTATTTGCTGCGTCACACTGCGGTCACTGTTAACTGCAGCCATAATATCAGCGATACAGGTGGGCAAAAATTCTGAAGATCAGCGGGGAGGCACAGAGTAGTATCCTTGATAAACCTCGTGTGTAAATCTAAATACAACGACTGTCATAAACGACGATTCACCCTACCGTCTTGCTAGAAACACCAGTAACTGAGAACTACTGTACCGAATCAGCAACTGTAATAGCACGATCAGGGTAACTAAAAAAAATTTACCTTTTTCCAAACAAGCTGTCGTAAATTTATTTCATTTCGTGGGGATAACGTTTTGGCATGTGGCCAGTGGCTTTTTCTTTCCTTAAATGCCTCAGTTCCCCCCCCCCATCCATAGGTTTGGTTCTCAGGGAAAGCGAGGTATACATTCAGAAGTTAATATCGATTTCCAAGTATTACTTATTGCTAAAATAAAATATTACACGATCAGAAGAATATTTTGCCGAAATTGTAGTTCAATGTCATAAAAATAAGTGCCATAGCTCATCATTATGTAGAGCTCCTGAGCGCTCGGCAAGTTCTATGATTTATTTCAAGCACTGAGAAGTACCACGACCCAATTCCGGTGGGCTTTTGCGTAATTTAAACACGAAACACAGCAGAATCTAGGATTTAGTGTATGTCATTTTTTCGAGCCTCTTTATAATCATTTGAGATTCTATCAGCATTAGCAAAATAAAAAAACATTACATCCAAAATGTTTATGGTTTGTAAAAGGGGGTAATAAATCATGTCTAAAATACACAGCAGCACCTTTATTCTAAATTTAAAAAGAAAATAAAGTATGAAAAACGTCAGGGATTTAAAAAAAAATGTTGTTACTGCCTAAAGATTGTTTAAATATAACATAAGCGCCAATCACCGGCCGAGTGGCTAAAATCCCGAAACAATGGTAGGCGCTCTGGATTCTGTTTCCGAGGGCTAATTGCATAAGGTTTTCATGGTTTTCCTCGTGTGTAACATAATATACTGACCAGTTTCTTTTAGAAAATCCTCTACGAAAGCATTCATCCATAGATAACCCTAAGGTCCTTTGGCGTAATGAAACAATGCAATCCAATACAGTGACTGGACGTTATTATGGGAAAACTATTGATGACCATATGGTGTAGGAAAGGGTTATTTCTAGAGGACAATCATAGGGAAATCATATTCAGATTACACATGGAGGAAACGACTAAACCCCAATGCTGCTAACCCATTTTCCGGGGCCTGAATCGGGTCAAACTACCAGTTCAGTGATTTTATCCAGTGTGCACTGGTAGTAAACTATTGTTGGCCGAAATAATGTGGAGCCACAGGACCTTCCTTTTACAACTTTAGTAATTTTAGAGGAATATATGAGAAGTCTAACTTTTTAAAATATGATTATAATTTAACTCAAATGATTCTTAACTTTGCTTTCTTTTGTGTTAGCAACGGCATACTGGTTACCTGTTTGAATTTCGAATATTCTAAGAATGTGTGCTATTTTGTGTAAACAACAGGAGCTTAAGGGTGAAAAAATATTTCCAGTTAACTGATGTTTATTATGTATTCTTTACAATCGTAGCATTGAATCTCTGGCTACCTAAGACAACTAAACAGTATAAACCATTAAAAATGGCAAAAGACAAAATAGGACCAAACAAATTAAATAAAATAACATATTAAAAGAAATATTAGGCTGGACTACTTTCTATAAATCATAGAGGAAGAAATTTTCATTAAATCGAGATGAATATAAATCTTAGGAGCAACAGATTTTCTTAAACGCATTTCTTAAGAAAATATGAAGAGCTAAAATTTCATAGTAAAGGAAACCTAATGAAAATTTAAACATCAATCATTTTTTTGTTAAAATTAAAAATGTTCTTAATTTAATTATCCGTTTTTTTGAGAAATGATGGAATACTTAACAGAATTTCATTGTTTTTCCACCATGGCTCTTAAAAGATTAACTTTGTTAAACAAGGATAAATTTAGAGTGAAAGTGGTCAAATAGTTTCTGAGTACAAAGATATATGCATTAAATAAGACTAATATTTATTTGCATAATTCCATTTTTAAGCATTATATTTATATCCGTTCTGTCATCCAAATAGCTTAGAAATCTCACATTAATCAAGAAAAGAGTAATCATTGTTTTTTTTAATTTTGCAAATTACCATGCTTTTAATCTGAAAATGTTGCACTGCTAATTACTAATCTCAATATAGAGTCTTTGATCGCTTTTCTGAATTTCATTGAAGTTATTCAATAAAGCCGTACTGAGAAAATTAAGATCGTCACGCTATCGATCGAAGCCTGAAAAATGGCATCGATATATGCTTTTGCGTGTGAGGGTTCTTTCAAGTCATACTCAAAAATCAATTAACTGGATGTATTATAAAATTCAAAGTGGGGAGAAAAGAAAGTATGTTACAAATAATGACTTTTTTTGCACATAAACGGATTATAGCAGAGGGCTTTTTAGGTTAAATGCATATTGATTTTCATAAAGTTGTTTCAAACTTTTCTTGAAATGTGTTTCTTTGTGGGAATTTCCTAGAAGAAGAAAAATGCGTAACTGTGAGGTAAACGTTTAAGCTTACTTGCGATAGTGAACTTTCTGATAAAAGTTGTAAGAAAATTATAAACACTCCGCTCTAATTAAATACCATTATTATATTAGCCAATCGTTTGGATACGCTGATACGTCGCTGATATAGCTTAATCTGCATTATTTTGCTGAGAGTCTAGTAATTTGGGTTTTTTAAATGTAATTTCGGTAATAGTATAATTTTAAACTGTAAATTTTCTGTTTAGTTAAAGCACTTTATTTTTTATCTTAGTTCTCAAAACATTGAAGATGTTTTGATTTTGGATGATATAGATCTATACCCATTTCTGTATTTCTAAAATGTAATGTTTCAGAAACGTACTTTATTGAACTATTAATGTTGCAGATTATTTTATCACCAAATAGGTTCTAAACAGCAATGGCGTATTTACTTTTCAAATACATATCGTATGCATTGCTCAAATCTCATGAAATATTTTGGTGGATAATCTTCCTAAATCTACGTACTACTTATCTAATTCGTCATATTTGGTTTTTGGAAACTTTAGACTCGAGCTGCAAAATCTATAAATAAATTTTTGTTTCGATTTGTGGATTCTTAGATTTGACAGCGAAATGGCAAAGTATATAAATACGATTGCTAAAAATAATAAAAAGTTGGTTTAAACTTAATTAATTTTCCCTCAAACCTATAATGGAAAAGAGTTCTATCTAAATAAATGTAAAATTTGTACTGTAGTACAAAGTTTCTTAATTTCACCAGCTACTCTTCATATCTTATTTGACAAATACTGGCTGAACGAGAAGCAATAGGGGGGAAAGATAAAAAGGTTCGAAGAAATTTCAAATGAACAAAAAATGAAATCAGTGGAAGGGGAATTGTAAAAATCAAATTTGCTGATACTGCTGAAAATATCGCAATTTTTTTACATTACTTTTTAAAGTCTATTTTGTAATCTGGTTTTTTGGCTAAAAAATGTTGAAATGGTTTCTGTGAAGTGAAAATAAAATGAAATTGTATTTTTCTTTTTTTAAGCCGAATGGGCTGAAGAATCCGTGGCCAAAGCAGAAATTCTCCGTCTTATATACCAAGGGAGGTTTCTTCACGGAAATGTTACTTTAGGAGGTAAGCAGTACTGATGTTTTTTCCCTCCTGTAAAGTTTCGCTTTTTAGTTAACATTAGGTGACTCTTCTGTCTTATTAAATCGAATATATGAATAAGTCTTCGTATATTTAATACACCATTAAAATTCCCTCCTAAGAGTATGGAATGAAATTTATAGTAGAGAAAATGCCGTTAACACTTCCTGATGCAGTCTAAAATTTAATTTAATTTGTAACATTTAGGAAGCTTTCATTTCAAGATCTTCCTAATATGTAATGCTTGATAACGTTCCTTATTATGTATGTTTCTGAGAAATTTTGTTATCAACAAATAGTTCTTTTCTGCTATGCACGTATTTCTTGCCCAGCAACATGTATAAATCAGCGTCAGAAACTTTTTAATGCTTATACTTACTTTTGCCTTTTTTAGCTATGGAATAGATGAGACGATAAAAATAATTCTCAGTATAGATACTTTAAATTCTGCGTGCCTTCTTTCTTTGCGAAAACGTTTTCTCGTTAAGTAGGAGGAAATAAATTTCAGTTTTAAATATTAGATTTTTAAGTATTAGGAAGAACCTAATAATAGATATGACAAGTGAACTAAATCCTAAGAAAATCAAATTAGTAACAGGGATTGGATTACCAAGACTTTACTTACTTTACTCCAATTCATTTTTTTTTTAGTTCTTTTTCTTCTAAAAAAGGATTGGTTTTATTTTCCTCTTCTAGCACATGTTATATGGATATTTTTGGATTTAGCACATGTTAAGTTAAAGGTGTCTTTAATAGAAGATGTAATTAATAACATTTAAAATGAGTAACATGTATCACATTAGTGTTCTAAATACAGTAACGTGTAATTGTTATAAGTATGCTTCATTAGGGCTAGTCTCTCTTTTTATACGTTGGCTAGGTGAGGATCTATTTTAATAGAAATCAAATTAAAATAATAGCTTAGCTAAACCTTCTATTTTCTATTCATAGTTCTTCAAGACTATTAAGCATTTACTTTACAAATAAGGTATAATTTCATTATACCTTATTCCGTTTTCTTCATTAACGAGTTAAAAATGTCTTGAGTAAAAACATATATAATGGCTCTTTTTTCAAAATATTTTCCGTTAACGTACTTGAAATTGCCAGCTTATGAGCCATTTATTTATGAATTAATATAACTGAGGATTCAGATCCATCTCCACTGATCCTATGAATTAAAAAAAAAAAAAAAAAAAAAAAAAAAAGAGCTACTCTTAGAGATTTTTTACCATTTCTTTGACGTGAAAACTGGGATAGGGTATTTTAACCTTATTTCTGTTGTTTGATGCGATAGAGCTTACATCGTCTGCAGAAATTGCATGCAGGCCTAATAGAAATACAAGTATATATGTAGGCTACAAAATTAATGTTTCATATCAAGCAGAAAACATAGCAGTTTAATGTGTTGCTGAACGTAGCAGAAATATTATATGTACTACTTAGTTGGTTGCTGAATTATTGCAGAATACTCAAGCAATGTTGAATCTGAATAAAGAACAAGCTGTCTTGAATCTGTATGGTTCTTCTCAACGTGTAAAAGCTGAGATTTTTTTTATCAGTTCTTCCGAAACAACGAAGTAAAATAAAATTTACTTAAAAAAATAATAATAAATAAATAGAAATAGTTTCAGCAGGATGTTGTAGATCAGCAAAGTAATTTAAGTTAGAAGACTTATCTTTTTTTTTTTTTTTTAGTGTGTGTGTCATGTGTTTTTATAAATTCATTCATTCGTCGAGTCAACTTCTTTTGGAAAGTCCTTCACGAACGCATCCCTTTTCTTAGAAAGATAACCCTTCGTTTGCGCTTAATGGTTAAGGTTTGGCTTAAGGCCTGTTTCCATTAGTGCGTTGCAAGTGCGGTGCGTTTCTCCAATCAGCGACCGAATCCACTTTTATTGACATCTGCAATCCAGTAGGTGTGCGGTGACGGACGGCGGACGAAGTTCAAAGATGTTCAACTTCTATCGCTATGTCTGCGGTAGCGTTGGGGTCACGTGGTAAAAAAAGGAGCAATCAGGTGTTGTCACCAAAGAAGACGAACTGTGGCAAATGGTTGGAAGGGAATAGAGAGCCATTCCTCAGGACACCATCCGCACTCTTATTGACTCTATGCCTAGACGTGTTTCTTCGTGCATCGCTGTCCTCGGTGGTCCTACATCCTACTGAACCGACGCCGTTCTCGCTCTGTATTCTGATTATCATTTTGAAATAAAGATCACTTATTGCTGCTTGCTGTCTCAGTTTTTTTTCCAAATTTCATCACTTTCTGACCACTCCTTCTTGGTGTTGCATTTTCAGTGTCGAGCGATATAGGAAGAAAACCACGGAAACAAGCCATGCAGCCAGCCCGTCGGCCTGGGTTAGTATTCAGCGGTCTTTGTTCCATCTTTCAGTACGAGATTTCTTCCAAGCTTTCATTACATAATAAGATAATTTAATTGCGTAGTTTTTGTGTGTACCACATGTATTTTGATTATTAATAATATTTGTAATGCACGTAGCTATCATAAGTTTTAATCGGTTTATATCTATTATTAATCATAGATTCTTTTAACACTGCTTAAAACACATCATCTGCATATTTTTATATACAGTAGTTCACTTAATTATTTGAAAATGGTTGTTATACCTGTTTATGTACGCACTAATGTCCACTATTCGAATCACGAATGTCGCTGCCTACGCATCTAACTATCTAACGACGTATCTAAATGCCACATCTAAATTTCTGCAAGCGGTGGTTCAGCTATAATTCTATGATCGAATACTCAATCTAGTTTTAAAACGATTTATTAAAATACTAAAATTAATCTAATTTAGAATCTAGAATCGAATTTAATGTTACATCTCAGAAGCAGCGTTCTAGCTGCGTCATAACAAATCTAAAGTCAAGTTCTCACTCTTGCCATTCTGAGGCAGAGAAAACTTTGTTTCTAATCAAACCGGAACATCGGCATAGTGAAAGTTTCTAGTCAAACCGGAACATCCCGGACCCCGTTGGACGATTGTCCAACATCATTTGGAAATGGGAGTGGACTGATATTGGAGACGGCTCGGCGAAAGATTCCGTCTAAAGTTCTGACGTCTACGACTCGTACTAGGCCATCTGAACCAGGAAAGGTCTCCTCGATGCGAGCTAGTGTCCACTTAATGGGTGTCTTGTTTTTATCCTTTAACAAGACTAGTTGTCCTGCCTTGAGATTGGGCCTCACTTGATTCCATTTTGAGCGGTTCTGCAAATGATTAAGATATTCCACGCTCCAACGGTTCCAGAAATTAGCTCTAAGTTTTTGAATTAAAGTCCATCTAGAAGACAAGGTCAAAGAATCTACAGAATCATTCGTTTCTGGTATCGACAAAGGTAAAGCTCCTATTAGGAAATGACCTGGAGTCAAAAGCTGAAGATCTGTTGGATCAGCCGAAATAGGTGATAGAGGTCGAGAGTTCAAGCAGGCTTCTATTTGTGTAATTAATGTATACAGCTCTTCAAAGTTTAAAATTCTCGTTTTCGCGACCTTTGTCAAAATTCTCTTCATTGATTTTATATTAGCCTCCCATAATCCGCCATAATGCGGGGAAGAAGGAGGAATAAATCTCCATGTTATACCTTCTTCGGAACTAAAGCGTTGAATGGGATCCGATGTACAAATTCTAAAGAGTTTATCAAGAACATTCTTCGTTCTCTTGAAGTTCGTAGCGTTATCACTCCAAGCAATGGATGGTTTAGATCGTCTGGCAATAAACCTTCTAAGACATGCTAGAAATGCTTCAGTAGACAAATCCGATACTACTTCTAGATGAATAGCCTTTGTACTAAAGCAAATAAATATCGCGATGTATGATTTAAACGTAACTCTAGATCTTTTCAAATTAGGCTTGGTGATAACTGGACCTGCAAAGTCCAGTCCTATTTTTTCGAATGGTCTAGTTATTACAACTCTATCTCTAGGTAAGTCTCCCATCATTTGGTTTATGGTTTGGTTCCTTGTTCGAAAGCACGTCATGCATTTACTTATAACGCGTCTAACTCTATCTTGTCCGTAAGGTATCCAGTATAATTGTCTAATAAGAGAAAGTGTGAATGAAGAGATTTTTTGTGATAATAATCTATGAGTAATTCAGTGAAATGATGTCTTTTGGGTAAAAGAAGTTGATGTTTGTGGTCTTCTAAAAGATTGGAGAAACGTAGCCTCCCACCAACTCGTAAAAGTTCTTCTTCATCCAGAAATACATTTAAGGATAAAACCTTACTATTACTTGGAACTGATCGTTTCGACTGCAGGCACTTAATTTCAGGTTGAAATTCAGAATGTTGTACACATTTGACTAGCACTTTTGTTGCATTCTGTAGTTCAGAAGCACTAAAAAGCTTTCTTTTCTTAATGATGGATTGGTTCTACAGTTGTTCGCAAACCTTAAACACCACGCAGTAGTTCTAATCAATTTGCTGAATGACGAATACCTTTTAATGAATTCGTTCTCAATGGAATTTTCACCTGTGACTGTTGAGTTCGCTACAGCTCCCCTTCGAAGTTCAAGCTCTTCATGATCCTTGAAATCTCTTACTGATTCTGCAAGTTTAGGCCACGAATCGATGCTCTGTAATAGCCACTTAGGTCCATACCACCACATGTCACTATTTCGTAGTTCAGACAACGTCATTCCTTTCGTGGAATTTGTCTTTGTTCCTCTGGTCAGCATATCAGCCGGATTTTCATCTCCAGGGCAATAATTCCAGGACTCAGGTGATGTTTTCTCTCGTATTTCCATTACTCGATGTTGGATGAATGGTTTCCATTTATTTAAATCGCCCTTTATCCAATGTAACGTAACAGAAGAGTCTGACCAAAAATATACATTCATCTGGAGTCTTTTCTCTAACTGTTCTTTAACATTCGAGGCTAATCTTGCTCCGATGAGGGCCCCCATCAGCTCTAATCTTGGAAGGGACAGCTTCTTCAGTGGAGCTAATCTGGTTTTGG